CCAAATGCTGCCTAAAACCAGCAAGCATCACTATGAACATTTCCTTGAGGTTCACATAGCCCAATGTCTCAAGCTGTGTGACCTTCTGTAGAGAACCTCCCAGCAACACCAGTATTTATGCAACATCACTAGTCTAAAATTTCAGTTTCTTCTCTGAAAGTATCAGTCTGCTGCTTGTCTCGAAGGCAAACTTCCATAGCAAGGCATTGGGAGTCCATCAAGGGGGTTTCTGTGGGATTCAGGAAGCAGGAACACCATGATGTGAACCCTGACATTCTTCCCTGTGTTCATCTTGAACAAGTATCTTTAAAACTACAGAGAAGAGAGAGAGCAAGATACTTTGGGGAGGAACTGAACTGATTCTTTTTTTTATGTATATACGTCTTGGTCCATATACCCCTGAGCTAAAAAAGGGGGAAATCTGGAGACAGATTTGGATTTTTTCAGTTTGTGTTACCATTCCCTTTTTATTCTTGCAAACTGTATTTGGAAGAATATCATCTTAACTTACCAGCAAGAGGAAGCCCTACAAAACCTCCAGTGCTTCGAATGAGCATGAAAAGCCCTAGAGCACTGTCAAAATCTGGCATGCCTACAACATCTGCTAGCACTGTAATGTGAATGGCAACGGTAGTACCAAAGAAGAATCCATAGAAGCCAGTGAATATTGCCAAGGACAAGTAATTGTTAGCCAGTGGCAACAGCATCAGGGAAGTACTGATGAGTGTAATGGTCATTGTCAGCAAATGAACAGTTTTGGTAACATGGAAGTTGGCATACCAGCCACAGAGTAGTCTGCCTGCAAAGTCCACCACAGCCAAAGTGGATAAGAGGGATGCAGTCCACGATTCATCTATTCCGAGGCTGTAGCTAAGTGGAACTAAAAATAACGGAGGAACAAAAAAGCTCATAGCAGCTAATATGCCAAAAATGGCATAAAACACAAACTCTGGTCGCCTCACAAGCATCCAGTTGAAGGTTTTGTGTGTGATGGGAGACTTAACTTCCTTGTCTATCCTAGATGCAGTGTTGCCTGGCGGTGTCTCAGGACTGGCCTCAAGGAGGCAACCACTTGTCGGGGGTCGCATCAGTGCTCCACAGACACAAATATTGAGCTGGATGCCACCTATGATCAAGAGGGCACCTTTCCATCCATATTGACTAATTAACCACTGGAAAAATGGCCCAAACGTGAATGCAAAGGCACATTCTCCAGCACTGGCAATAGCATTGGCCAAAGCTCTTTTCTTGGAGAAATAATGGCTAACAATGCTAATGGCTGGTGTCCACGAAAAGGAAATCCCAAGTCCTGAAAAACA